ATTATCTCATGCAAGAGGATATATCTCATCAAGCAATGACTTGTTGACGGTGGGCATCAGTAGGCGGAAACAGCAATTTCAACTTTCGACGCATATTAAAACAAACATTATATCTAAAAAAAATTACTTACGACATTAGAGGATTTTTGCATTTAGAAGAGGAAGGCTTTGATTTTGAAGAAATCGAAGGCGTTGATGCTTTCAATTTGTTCGAAGTCATGAGGGCTGATAAAGATGTCGAAGCAAGCTACAAGCGAGGGGATGGCGAGGGCGAGTACGAGCTTCAACAGCGACGCTGATCGTGCGTATACTGAAAGTAGAGAAAACAAACCTGTCGATGTATTAAACATAACTACGTGTTAAAAACATAAGATTTCTTTTGTTCAAAATTTTCCCTCAAAATAAAAAAACCGCAAAATTTGTTCTCATCTTCAACCATTGTTGTATCACGTGAGAGAATTGTTGGCGTGTCCATACAAGCTATCAAATTATCACATATAAGAAGTTCAAAATCTATAGAAAATCGTCCTCAAGTTCATCTTTCAATTTCACTAAACAATCTCATTACGATAATTTAAACAATTTTTAAAGCTCATATCCAATTTAACATTAAACCTATCCCAAAATTTAAACTAAAATATGATAGTTAAAACCTCCAACAAACAAGTTAATTCATAACCTAAACTTGGATCAAAAAGCAATGTTGCTCGTAAACTACCAAATGCCAACACGTTCCCATTACAATTCCAATCATCTACTCTAAAATTGATACGATCAAATACAAAAACTAAAAATAAAAGCTGAGGACGTCAAGAGGAAGAATTTTTCTGCGGAATAATTCTCCGCTCGTTTTTTTTTTGGGAATTTGTTAAACCTCGTCATTAATAGGGTGTTTTTATGGTAATGGGTCTTTTCTTTTTTTGGGAATTGATTTAAATCAATGGTTGAGATGATTTTGGGGTTTTTGAGATCAATGGATGAGATTGCGCATCCTTAGGCTACACCTAGGGAGTCACCTTAGATTCACTTTACCCATATATATATATATCAAAGAAATAAAGATGAGTTGTCACCTTATTATAGGATGATGTGAGTGATTTTTTAAGAAAACTTGTTTTGATGTTATCTGGTTGGCGAAAAAAACAATGAAATAAATTATAAGAAACCTATTTTTTGTAATAGGTTATTTTCTTTTGCTTGGTTATTTCTTAAAAATAAGAAAATATATGAGATGAGATGAGTTGTCATTATATTATTGGATGATGTGACCCATACTTAAGGAAATTGTTTTCCTAGCTTTTTGGGAGGAAAACAAAGAAATAAAATGTTAATGAGATGAGATGAGTTGTCACAATCTTATTGGATGATGTGAGTAATTTTTAAATATGAGATGAGATGAGATGAGTTGAGTGATGTTGTAGATAAAAATAATATTTTATTAGATATGGTGGATATGATGGATGAGTTGTTGGATGAAAATAATATTTTATTAGATGTGATGGATGAGTTATTGGATAAAAATAATATTTTATTAGATGTTGTGGGTGAGTTTTAGGGATGGAAATGTGTGAAATTGTACTTTTTGGGTTTTCTTGGTTTGCATTTCTATTTTTTGGTTTTTTAGGAAATAACCAAACAGTTAGTCCCAAATCCATAATACTTCTGTCGGAAGTGGGACCTGGTTGGTCTCCTCTATTAGTCCCAAATCCATAATACTTCTGTCGGAAGTGGGACCTGCCTCTTTAATCATGGGCGTCCAACAAGCGCAATGAAAATTTTGGTTTAGATTGGTCCCTTATATCTATCTTTTCCAACTCAGTCCCTCACTTTATGTAAAAAAAATTCATTAAACTTAACTTTTTGGCTAAATGACACTTAAATTCCTTATTGTTTCATAACTTTTCCACTTAAATATCTTAAATGTAAAAGTAACAATTTAACATCCTAAGTTATAACACTTTAATACCCTAATTAGTTGTGGAAAATTGGCACATTAGCTTGTAATTGTAATTGTACTGATCTTATTTATTGTCATATTTACCATTATACATACTCTATCTTTTTATTTTTTTTCATTTTTTTATCGGCGTTTACAATACTCCAATGGTGGACAACTTAAGGTATTTATGTGCAAAAAGAGAGGGCTTTTCCTACTTTGAATGGGAATGGAAAATTAATGATAGCAATATCTAACGAGGTTTTCTTAGTGCTAGTCCCTCACAACTTTAGTATTATGTAAGTAGTCCCTCAAATCACTAAAATTCCTATCGTCTCCCAATTCTCAAGTTACTTTAAAACTAGTCCCTCGCATCATTGAAATTACTAGTGCATCAATCAATTCTCAAAACCTACTTCAAATTAATTTCTCCAATTACTATTTTATATTTTAATTAGAGAGATTAATTTGGAACAACCTACAAGACTAGAGTCTAATAACCATTTTATTGATATAAGGGACTAATTTCAAATAACTTTTAAACGAGGATCTGATAACATTGTCAATAGTTTGTACGGCTAACTTTAGGGACCAATATTGGAAAAACCATACATATAAAAGAAGGGCTTTCTAGATATTAGTCCCTTATTAAGTTATTAGTATTTTAATATTACTCATTAAATCTTCATAATTTCTATTAATCCCAAAAAGTACGTTAATGTGTTAGTATTAGTTTTTGTATTTATTTGTTGTTAAAAATACGGAGGAACATTCTATTTTCATTAATACACAGTTACACCCCTACTTTAATAAATCCAACCTCACAACAAATTAAATCGCAATCCGTTAAGAGCCCCAACACTCATACATGTTCAATGCAAACTCAAATCCATTTTACTTACTTTCTTCCTCGCAAAACTATTAAATGGAGATACGAATTTTGGTAGTTTTCTCAATTATAATCAGTATTAATCCAATCATGACCGAGGGTCAAATTGCGAAGATGTTGGAGACTGATGTCGAAATACCAATGATGTAAGGGTCTAGTATATAAAAAACTCCGTAAAGAAAAGGCACGCGAAGCCATCGAGCACCCTCGCCGCCTGTCGCCGCCTGTCACGTGACCTCCACTCCTCCCCCCACTCCCCGAACTCGTCCCCATCGATCCAAAGAAGAGAAATGGAGTAATAAGGGGCAAAATTTTAAAACAGACCCTTTGCAAAAATATTTTCAAAAAAAATTTGTTTTGAAAATATTCGCAAAAAATGACTTAATTTTAGACTCAGGCCTGAAACTGGATTGTTTTTTTGCAAAAAATGTTTCCAAACTTCATGAGAAGTAAAGTTTAAGAACATTTTTTGCAAAAAATAACCCAGTTTCCGAAGCTAAAATCAGATTATGTTCTAAAAATAAAATGGAAACGGGTTTTTTTTGGAATTATTTTGGAAAAGGGTCTGTTTTCAAAATTTGTCCGGAGTAAATAAGCGAATGACAGACAGAGAAGAAGAGAACGCGATACCATCCTCAAACTCCTCCAATCATGGACCCCGCTCCGCACGCTCCCAGGGCTCCATGGGACTCGCATCGCTCCGGGCCACCGAACCAGCACAACTCCGGCCTCCTCGACGGTCAGCCCACCGGCGTAAGCCTCCGTACGCCTACGGCAGCGGCAGCCAGCCAGTCGCCGTCGTCGACCCCCGACCCCCCCGCTGACTGCAGCTCGTCCTCGGTACCTCCCCGACCGCCCGCCCCCTCCTCCGTCCTCCGCCTCGCCGTCGGCGATCGTCAGGGCCGTATCGCCCTCTGGGACTTCCGATCCCGCAAGATCCTCCGCTGGCTTGACCTCGATCTCGGATCCAAGCTGGGGATCCAAGATCTGTGCTGGATCCGATCCGAGACCTGGCTCCTCGCTTCGATCCACGGCCCCTCGATGATCTCGCTCTGGAATCTTACCTCTGGTCGCTGTACCTGGAAGTACGACTCCTCGCCGGAGTATTTGAGCTCTATCCGCCGAGATCCGTTCGATTCGAGGCACTTCTGTGTGATCGGGCTCCGAGGGTTCTTGCTTTCTGCGATCGTGCTCGGTGACGGAGTCGGCGATGTCTCGATTCAGGAGCATCAGATTCTGAACTCCGGCGGAGGAGAGCTCGAGAAGCTCGAGAAGGAGAAGGATTTGTTGTCGTCGTCGTCGGCTTCTGCTAACGTGTCGCCGGCTTCGGCGCTCTTTCCTATGTTTTTCGTGAGATTTTGCTTCTCGCCGAGGTGGAGGCATATTTTGACTGTTGTTTTCCCGAAGGAGCTAATTGTTTTTGATCTTCAGTATGGGACGGCGTTGTGGTCGGCGTCGTTGCCGAGGGGGTGTAGTAAGTTTATGGATGTTATGCCGGATTTGGACCTGGATCTTCTGTATTGTGTGCATTTGGACGGGAAGCTCAGCATTTGGAAGCGCAAAGAGTAAGTTTTATTCACTACTGAGCAATAACGCTGTGGAGAACTTATTAGAGACGTGCATCTTTTAATGTCATTAACTGAAATTTGAACCCAATGTACACCATTAAACCCAACTTACTCCATATGCTGCCCTCTTGGAACTTCAAGATTGACAAATAATTTAGATTGCTTTATAATGGATGCGATTGAGGATTTAGTAAATAACTATTAAAACGATTCTGTGAATAAAAAAACTAGAACCTAAAACTTATAAAGATGCACACATAATGTTATTGAATGATAATTTAATGGTAGCATCTGTGTGCAGAATTGGACAAATGTGTATGACATGAGAAGATGGTGTTGGCAGGATTTGGTTGCACTGTGTATGCCGCTGAACTTCAAAATTTTATCGAATACAGCAAATAATGCCTCATTATACTTGTAGGATTAGTTAATTCAATCTTGACGATGCTAGACCCTTTTAGTGGTTTCTGTAGTTCCAAGATCATAGATGCCAAACGAATATAAACTTGCCATTTTGTACATTGTTTTACATTGACCATTTCGATAGGCAATGAAATTGATTCTGTTGTTTGCACATTGTTGGCAGTTTCCTCCCTTTTCTCATTAAATAATGCCGTATAACGCTCCCTTGATCAGGGGTGTCCTAGAGGTGTGGTAGGAACTGCCAAGGTGATGCACAATTTGAAGGTAGCTCTTTAGCAAATTGTTTAGGGAGCATTGGGAGGACTTTTAGAGAGTCGCAATTAACCGAATGGTTAGCAGCAAGTTTCTAGTTATGTGTGTGTGGTCAGCAAGTTCAACGCGTTGAGTTCATCAACTAGCAATCTGTAGACTCCAGCTAAGCTGCTAAGGCACAATGATAGTGACTGGACATGGTCTCACGTGTGCTAGAGTAGCACAAACTGGTGAGGTTTGTGCAACTCTTCTGGTAATGGGTTAGTTTTTGTGAGGAGCTTGGAATAGATCAAGGTTGCTGATAGCGGATCGCGGCGCGTCGCGGCGAGGTACCGCTAAGGCTATATCGGGCTATTGCGGCGAAATCGCGGCAAATAGCGTACAGTCAAATAGCGGTCAAATTTAAATATATTTAAATATCCTAAATAATAAGAAATTTCATAAAAAATCTAAAAATTCAATTAGTTGTAAATTTCTTGTATTATCAATAAATAACAATTAATAAGCTTGTTGTATGAATGAAACTATGAAGAAATTCAAGAAATATAGCATCATAATATGTGTGATAGCGGGTTTAGCCGCTTTTAACAACAAAAATCCGCTTTTAACCGCGAAAATCCGTTTTTAACCGTGAAAACCCGCTTTTAACCCGCTAAAATCCGCTTTTACGCTCTATTCGAATGAATAGCGGATTTTCCCGTTTAAGCCAGCCGCGAAACCCCTATGCGTAGCGCTGAAGGGCCGCGATCGCTATTCGCGCCGCTATAGCCCCGCTATTGGCCGCTATTTACAACACTGGAATAGATCGACATTTTTGTAGGCGCAGGCGCAGGTGAGCTGAATGGCTAGCTGCAAGTATTCATTTATATTTAAATGCACTCAACCATTCATCATGTTGTGCCTTTTGCGGCAACAGTCTAGTCCCAGCGCCCCAACCCCCCCCCGGGGGGCTTACTCGGAGGGGTAGTGGTAAGGTTGAGTAGCAATAGCCATAAGTAATGGTACTATGACAAATTACCACTACAAATCTAAAGAGGGCTATTGTATTGTGTGCATGTTTTTCTGCTTGTGGACCTTTCAGCCATAGAACGAATCCACATGCGTAATAGAGATGGAGAAAATCTTTCTGATGGATGCTTGGAAAATCTTGACTAGAAAAAATTTTGGGCTAAGCACTTCTGGAAAAATACACGTCTTAGGTGATGCTTTGGGGATTGTTTGTATGGAGCACGCATACAGTGATGTCCTAGTGGTCTTTCATATTATAAGTTGAAGTGGGGTTAGTGATGTCAAGGAGGAACAATGATAGCGTTCATGTAGCTATGATCCAATATAATCTCTGGCAAAATGATCTAAAACTACCTCTGGTGAAATGATCGTGAATCAACGATGTTGGATGATGATGCTACGTCAGCTTTTGGATATGATGTTGATGGAAGGATATGTGCCTTCAGTGAAGGTTATTAGAAGGACTCACCTTAGAATTGCTAGTCATCTTCAGAGTTTGAACTCACCTTAGAATTGCCAATCATCTTAAGAATTTGATTCAAGAAATGAGCTGATCCATCTATGTACTTTTGTGCTCTTATCATTGCCAGTGATTGCTTTTTCTAAGCTACATTTCTAGTAACAAGAATTGTGGTAAGTGCGATGCTCTAAAGATGAATATGAAGCACCAATAGCAGGCACAAAAAATAAGAATGATCAAAAACTAAGGAAGAACTAAAAATAGACCCGAGAAAAATTACATTCACGAAATATATGTTCTTGTAGACTCAATATATGAGAGAGAGAACTAAATTAATCTTAGTTGAATGAGATAGAAGCAGCATCTTCCCATAGAACATCTATATAATTTTTGATAAATTTGACAAAAGCCCCAAAACTTGGGTATATTTTCCACAAAACCGCCTGAACTTTATTTTTCGCATAAACCCCCTAAAAGCAAGGGGAAAAGGAGAAGACGAGCCTAAAGAAAAGAAAAGAACAAATTGGGTAGACAACTATGATATCCCGACACGACTGTAGAAGCGCTATATCCGTATTGGGTGCGGTTTGGGTACATTTCTGCACCCAAACGGATGAGATATGTGAGCAAGTCATTTCCCATGTGAGAGCATTTCTGGAGCAGTTTTGTTTGGGGAAAATGGGTTTACTTTTGAGATATGAGAGAAAGAAGGAAGAAGATGATATCTCTCTCTTTCTTATTTTCTTAGTTTTAAATTTGTTAGTGGAACATGACATCAACATTCACATGGGTGCTTGACTATTTGCTTGTCTTTTCTTTAAAAATAATGGTAGTGATAAAGATGGGAGACATGTGTTCTCATATTTAAATAGATAAGTTTATATTATTTTATGTTGACATGGAATATAAAGTCAAAGCTTCAAATGAGTTTACTTTATAATTTTAAGGAATGAGCTTATTTTATTGAGAATTTGAAATTAAACATAGTAAGATTGCGATAGTTAATATAATTGTTTATTTTTAAACTATATATATGTATGTATGTATATATATGTATATGTATATATAGACGTGTCCCCGTACCTTACTTTTTTACAAATTTGTCGTTTTTCGTACCGGTACTCGTATCTATATCCATACCCGTACCGGTACCCGTATCCGTACCCTTACACGTACCTATGCAACCTAGGTAAACAATAAGGTCTTCCAACAGTGAGATTTTCTGGGAGGATTTGTGGGAATTTTTCTTTTTTTAAGAGGGGTTACTTGAGACAGCTTAAGCTTTGGAGGGTTTTGTAGGAAAATTCTTGAAGTTTTTCAGGAAAAAGTTTAGGTTAAATGGCACATAAATACCCCATTGTTTCACTATATTTACACTTAATACGCTAAGTTATAAAAAAATAGCACTTTGAGTTGATACCCTAAGTTATAAAAAAGTAGCATTTTAATACTCTAAGTTGTAAGAAACTGACACTTGAGTACCCTATTGTTCCACCACCTTTACACTTAAATATTCTAATTCTAAGTTATAAAAGTAGCACTATAATATCCTAAGTTGTAAGATGTAGTACTTTAATACCGTAAGTTGTAAGAAAGTAACACTTTAATACTTTCTATTAGTTGTCAGGATATATTGCTAGGAATATTTTCATAACAACTGTCGAAATGTATTATTGTGCTAACTTTTTACAACTTAGAGTATCAATGTGATACTTTTTATAACTTTGGGTATTTAAGTGACAAATGCTTAGAAAGTAGGATATATGGACATCAGACTATTAATAAATGATGTGAATATCTTGGGTATGTATTGGGTGCGGTTCCGTACCTAAACGGCTCGGATATCTTGGGATGAAATTTCAACCCATTTGACTGCCTAATAAAGCCAAAAGTGAGTGTATTTTGGGAATCAAGCTAACTTTTTGAACATAGTATCCCAAACACATTGACCTTGTTTGAATGAAGGTTAATGTATGGAAGTTAAAGTGAAATTTTAATTTTACCTTGTTTGAGAGTTTTTTTTGAGGGGTTAGAGGATGGAATGAAAGGTTAAATTTCCTTCCATTTTCCTCCCCTCCAATGTGGAGGGTAGAGGATGGAATGAAAACCAATGTAAAATTTTACAATGTGATAAGACAATTATACTCTTATAACATTAAAATCAATGGCTAAGATATACTCCCATCCAATAAGTAAGGGTATTTATATAACTTTATACATATTCACTTCACTTCCCTTCTCTTTATTAGAATTCCCAAATAAGGTAAAACAAATTTACTTCCGTTCCCCTTACTAAACACTCAAACACCATTTTATCTTTTCACTTTCATTTCTTACCTTTTCTTTCCATTATTTAACTTTCCGTCCCTTCGCTTAGTAAACTCCCAAACAAAGCAATAGGACTTAAACGTCCCCCAAACTATGTATCTCCATGATCTCTAAATTCCCAAATCAAGACATCTCCAAACACCCATTAAAGAAGTCAAATCCACTGCTTGATTATGGTTAAATTAGCTTGATAATTGTTGGTCGGCGTTCGATTTTAAAGAGAGTGATGAGGAAGAAGATGGGTTCAGAAGATGGTTGAAAAGGTACGGACTTTGGTGATCAAAATAAGGTTGAAGAGGTATTTTGTTGGGTTGTGTAAACCCCCCCAAAACTAACAAAGACGGGGCATGTGAGGTGTATGAAAATTAGGCATGACCCAGTTGTAAGATTAAATGTCAACTTGCTCAATTTTCATATAAGCTCCTATATAAACAATATCAAAGTACAAATTCACATCTATATTGCAACCATACAATGCCTAGAATTCTTAGATTGACAGCTGAGTTCACAGAATACCAGCATAAAAGCTAGAAAACTTAATTATATGCTGAAGTCTGAAATAAAACTCTTTAAGTACATGATATTATATAAGTACTCTAAAAGTACGACAAGGCAAAGAAGGAGCATATCTAAACTAGTTTTCTAACTCACTTATCACACCTTTGCTCTTTTCTGGATTAGTACATCCGGGAATGTAAAAAAAGGGTGAGCATAAGACTCAATAGGTAACAAAATAAAAGGTCATGGATACAACCATAAAGGGATATGAAAATGATATGATACTAACAAAATAAAATAGTAGATAACAATAGTTAGTTGCATCCATAATAGCATCAAGGATTAGCATGAAATTATGAACATCAAAAAGAATAAACGACTAGATATTCATGATCGTAAGTTCCTACTTCTAAGATATTGTCAATACCACACATGTTCTCATATATATACCCACTGGTGAGCGTCCTCTCATAGGGCACTTGGTCCCCACGAGACTTAATAGAATACTAATTATGAATCAACAGTCATGACCCAAACAATTCAACACATAGATGTTGCTAATCAAGATGACCGGAAGTTGAGGCAATACCCATTATAATACGAATTTACCAATTTTCAAGGCATGGATCAAATAAGACAGTTGATAAATGACCTATCGGCAATATCACACGCATGAAGTGGTTCAAATAACATTTCATCGAAAGTAAAAAAGAATGCAAGTAAAATTCTATAATATAGAAAGGAAGGCAAGAGAAGAGTTACCTACCGGTTGTAGCGAACTTGGCACGAACAACAATTTCCCCGAGGGTTCCTATATACGCGTACATAAACACACTTTTAAGGGTTTCGATGATCACTATAAGATGACTATTTAATGTGCTGATTATCGTGACATTCTTCTTGACACGGATATGTATGATTCTAACATGTGGTGCATTAGCATTGACGTGAAATAAGGGTAGCAAGCAACCTAAAATTGGATTTGAGAATTGAGGATCGAAATAAGATCCGATTGGTATGAAACTAACGCCGAATGTTACATATAGAGCTTTGTTTCGTAATCTCTGATTAGATTGTAAATATGACTACGACTTATGGAGATATGGCTAGGATAGTGCATTGGAGTCATAGAGCACTATCACACAGATTTCAATGCACATAAAATATTTTCGATCAGGAATTAGAGATAGCATACGACATAAAAAATGCGCCAAACTAATTTCAAAAGATAGTCACATGAGTCTAGTTTCAGGGTTAACAAGAATTTAATGCATGCAAGATATATATTAGGAGTTATGCTCTCTATAGTGAACATGTCTCAAGCAGTTTGATTCAGACACATGCATCCACTTTTACTAAGCATTTGAGATAGCAAATGATATCCAAATTTGACCAAACTAAGTTTAACAGAAAGGTGCACGAGTACATATTTCAAAATAGAAAATTTGGATATCGTTTGCCATCAGAGTGAATGCAGTATACATGTAGCAAATTGTGGATGGATGTGTCTGAAAGCTATACTCGTGCACCTTTCTATTAAACTTGGTTTGGTCAAATTTGGTTATCGTTTGCTATCTCGAATGCTTAGTAGAAGTGGATACATGTGTCTGAAACAGACTGCTTTAGATAGGCGTATAAAAATTGGGCATAACCTGACTGTAATAAGAAGAGTCGACATGTTTAATTTTTATATACACCTATAATACACAATAATATTAAAGTGTAGAATTTAAAGCAGCATAAATATATATAACACCCAGAATCACAAGGTTGACAACAAAGCCCACAAAATAGCAAAAAGCTAAAGGGAATAATAATACAGTACAAGTCTGATAATAAACTATAATACATAGTATTACATGTTCGACAACTCAAAACTACTACAAAAATAAATACAAACTATGATTTACCACAATAGCTAATCTTCGTTGTTGGGGTTTGCGATCCCCTTGCCTTTGTCAACTGTATGACGACACATGGATGTAGAAACAATAGGGATGAGCCTAAGGCCCAATAGGTTACTATAAAAATATCAGGTACAACATAAGGGGATAAAAAAATGAAGATATAGATAGGCATTTGAAATTGAACGAATGGTTCTCAGTGATAAGCTATTAATTCTTATATCATGATCTTTGATCGAAATAAAATAATAGATGTCAATATGAATAACCAAGTTCTAATATTCAAGATTCCAAACTTTCCCAATTATGGGATAAACAATAAACTATGCATGCTTTCATACACCAACCGGTGAGCGTCCTCACACGGGACATGTCCCATCGGGACCCATTTCCATTGCCACCCACTGGTGAAACTTACTTCACACATGGTATGATCCATGAATATAGTAGCAACAACTAACAAATGAAAGAATATTATCATTCTCAATAATAGAATCATTGAAGTAAGTTGAATTGCCATAATATAATCATTCAGAGAATATGCCCCCAAAACTAATAAAGACGATGCATTTTCATAGCTTTTCTAACCGGCTAACAACATTCCACATAACAACTACTCATACAACGGATCTTCTGTGGCAGTTTCCCATAATTTAGCTTGGACATGGTAGTTTCTGGACATATATAAATTAAAAAAGAAACTGGAAAGTCCAATCCAATACCTTACCTCATAGGAGTCAATACTGTGCCTCTATATTTGCAAAACCTTAAATCCTATATAACAGTAAATCATGTTATGTCTTTGTCTAGTTTCATCTTTTTAAATGTTTGTTTAGACGATTTGCAACTCCAAGTTATTCGACACACCATCTTAAGATTTTGAAAAAAATCCATCATATATCCTATATATATTGTTTATCAAATTTAACATGGTTCTTGCTGTATGTGTTGGGCAAGTTTCGTGCTAGTTTATGCTGTAAACGTGTCAGATTTACACATAACTGACTCTATAGTGTTTGTGTTCCTAATTATTAACTCCCAGTTATTCTTCATCGCCGCCCACATTTTTTGAAACTAACAACAAAAGATATTAATGCGTTTCTTAAGATGTTTTTAATAGTTATCCTCGAAAAAAACAATGTTGTTTCACAGACAGGACGAATATGGCTTTTCCTTAGAGTTATAACTGAAAGAAAATACATATTACTTCAGAAAGCTTTCAATTGAGCCATATCCGGCTGACATTAATAGATTCATAGGGATTTTGTATATAATTCACTGGGAGTTATATGCTCCATAGCCAACCACTTCTAGGTGGAGGAGAGTTGGATGATGATTACTGAAGTTGAAATAAGGATATAAACCATGCTTGTAGTGAAGGGATCAAAAGCTTCAAGTCAAAGGTGGGTTTTACCTTTTTCCTTTTTGTTAGATATAAATGTACAAATATCCCTGCACAAGTAAAAATGATTCATAAATGACAGTTTAGGTATCTGATTGTTAGTCTTTGCCCTGGATAATTGACTACTTGGGATTACATGAATATTTTAGGGAAGAGTCAAAAAAATTCACTGTCTGAATATAAACTCAGGTATTAGTTCTAATAAGGTGGGGACTGATTATGCATTATACTCTTAGAAGTCGCGTCGTCAATGATATATGGGTCAATTAATCTTAATGGGTAAAAAAAGACAGACAGTTGGCTGGTTGGTTTTGTTGTTGATTGATCCACTATTAATGGTGAAATGCACTCATTGTAGTTTGTCAAGGGTCAATACTTTTAGCTCCACTGGCCTTGAATGATGATTGTGCTACTGGTGAGTGAAAAGTAAAGTAGGAATTTCTTATCAGCCCTCCAATCTTGGCACTCCTTCAAGAATTTGATTTTGCTTGCCCTTTGTTCTTCCTATTCAATTTCGAATTAGGAACTGGGATTCTGTTAGTGGGTACCCTACTTTCATATGTTTTATGTGACATGATTTTTGGTTATTGGATTATTGACATGGCAAATGCAATAAAACAAATGATAGACAGGTCAATAATTATTGGCATCTTTTGGTTCTTCTAATTTTAATGGAAGCATTTGATAATCGTCTACATTCCTTATGATTCTTTGTTCCTGAATTTGTATACTTAGAGGCCTAGTTATTACAGGGAAGAACAGGCGCATGTGCTTTGTACAATAGAAGAGCTAATGCCCTCCATTGGAACAACTGTTCCATCGCCATCTGTTCTTGCTGTCAGCCTCTGCCAGTCAGAATCTGTCATTCAGAATGTTGCCAAGCTTTGCGCAGGCGCATCAGACATTGAATCTTCCTTTGATACAACTTGCTTAGCACCTTTAAATCTTTGTAATGGAAGCGTTTATGTTTGCAAGGCATATTTACTCTCTATTTCGGATGATGGGAAAATCTGGAAATGGCTTCTGACTAATGACAAAGCTAAAGTTGCTCGGAAACCATTCAATATGACTACTATTAATGTCAGTGGGGAAACAGGTTCAGAAAAACATACCACATCCAGTGATTCTTTTCTTGAAGTTGTTGCCGATGTGGTTAAGGAATCAGAGCCTCCTGTCAGCAACAGTTCATCTCAGCAAATTAGTTCAAGTTCAAATGTAGACCTTTTCATAAAGGTAAATCGAGTTATTATTTTGTTTCATATTCTCCTAGGCTGGCATTCTCTTCTACTAGGACCTAAAAATATGTTCTGGTAAGAAACACATCGATTTTTTATTTTGAATTTTTTATGTTTAAACTCAAAAATTTGTGTTTGCAGAAATTATAGTTTAATTTGAAAAGTTCACATGCAACTTACATGTTATACACGTTAGCAGATGTTTTGCGTGATGACCTCCTATATGCATGCTACAGTAATATGCAGCAATTTATCATTCTAAGAATTCTTTTTACCTGATCTCTCGACTAAATAAATTTAGTTGTTGCAATCAAATCGTGCGAGAACTATATCTAATGTTCAATGTTGATGCTGCTGCAATCCAATTAGGATTTGTGTACTTAATTTCAACGAACATGAGCTGAAACTATTATTCTCGGAGACTTAGGTTCCTCCTTAGAAATAAACTATTCATAGAATTACTAACATTTTTCAAAACTTCATTTTTGTTATTGTCCAAGATTGAGATCTGCTAATAATGCATTTTTATTGTTGATGGATTTCTAGTATCCTTTCTAATCATATGTGTTGTATCTAAAAGATCATGAGTATATCCTCTGGTAATATCTAAGAGATAGAAAGGAACTTGGCAAAAAATTCCTTCTCTTTCCATATATATGTACATATACATATGTATCTGGGTGAGCGTGCGCTTGTGTATATGCGTGTGTGCGTACGGCTAAGGTAGAATAAGCTTAAGTGGATAGGAGCTCTTGTCCACCAACTTTTTTAGCCTTTGATTCTACCTTGAGATTTGTGCTGTACATCAGGACTACCAAGTTTTTTAACCGTTGATTATGCTTTGAGATTTGTTGCACATCAAGACCATTTTTGAGATGTGTGTATTGATTCGTATCACATGTTAACATAAATCTCAAAGCAAAATCAATGGATAAACAAGTTGGTCGACAACAAGCTCCTGTCCACTTGAGTTTGTACACGCACGCGTGCAACACACACACATACATGTTGCAAGTTATGCTATTTTCTATTACTAAAGGAAAATTATCACCATCTTCAAACTGTATGTTCTTTAAAAATTGATGAAAACATTCTACAACCAATGTATACTATCAAGAACTAATATAATAACACATGATTGTCATTTGAAGATAGTTTCAAGCGTTAAGACCGTCTTTTGAATAGTTTGGTATGTTATTCAGTCTATCAAAGTCAGTCATGGATCAAATTAATGGTTGAAGAGTTTTGTCAAATTAGATGAGGATGTTCAACTCGTGATAAGGTTCTATTATTGTAACCAAGAAAATGTTGAAGCTCAATAATCGAAGGAGATATGAGAATGTCTCCAAGCTTTTGGAGCTTGTAATCAAGTAATTTTTAGCACTAGCCGTGCTTAAAGACATTAACTTCAAACTTTTTTTTGGTAAAATGTATTATCTGAAATATGAACTTCAGAAATTTTTTCTTACAATACGATAGTGATGCAATAGTAGCATTCAGTTTTGCACCATCACTATGACCGTAGCTTAGCAACATTATAGCAATCTTGTACTGAAGCATCATTGTAGCAATTAATTGCAAGCAAATATAAGTTCGGGTAGATGTTACAGTGGTAAATTCCTTTGGCTTTTATATCAAGGGTTTTTTTCCCTAGAAACCACCTTGAAATAGGGTACTTATACAAAAACCACCTTTCATTTTTATTTTTATACATAAACCACCTTCAAAGTTAGTTTTTGTTGCAATCAACCACCTCACAGTCAAATTCTTCACTTAAAACCCAAAATTACCCTTAAAAACTCACATTCAATGTACATGACTCCTTTTTTAGTGTTTAAGCCTTGTTAGGACTTAGGATACAACTCACGGTTACCTTGAACTTGAATTTTTAAGCTTATTTTTGGTGTTTTAGTGAAAATTTGACTAAGAAGTGGTTGATCGCAAGAAAAACCAACTTTAAAGATGGTTTATGTATAAATTGAAAATACAAGGTGATTTATGTATAATCACCCTATTGTTAAGGTGGTTTCTAGGAAAAAACACTTATATCAATTAAAAAGGGACAGAATTAAAGAGATTGTAGGGTTAGATGGGGTAAATAGGTGCAACGACAAAGGGAGTAGAGTTTTTTGGTTCCCGCCTCAATCAAGCACTTCACAGCAAACTCTTCAAAGATTATCACTTCTACAATGTGAACTCTAGAAAATAACATACAGTTAGGTGTATATGTAGGTTACATCTAAAAGTGAGAAAAACTTGGGTGCTAATCCTGATTAAACTGAAGCAAAAGAAACTAAACTATTAATCTTCAAATAAAACTAGTTAATCATGAGTAACTTAGGGTCAAAACAAGTAAAAAGTTTCCAAAGAAAAAACAAGTTTAATCCTAACCAAATTAGGATTCGTCGAAGTCTTAGCAGTTAGGATTTCTTCTTATAAGACAAGGTTTTGACTGGTTTGCTTTATCTCCAACTCTCTCCTGAAAATTGAACTCTTAAGGAATTTATACCTTCTATATGGTACCGCAGGGATGAATCGTCAATTATCCGCAAGGACCACAACTGAGGACATTCTTGTCTTATGCCAATTGATTCCAAATACAAATTAGGATTTTTCGAAGTCTTAGCAGTTAGGATTTCTTCTTATAAGACAAGGTTTTGACTGGTTAAGTATCTAAGGAATTTATACCTTCTATATGATACCACAGGGACGAATCGTCAATTATCCACAAGGCCCACAACTGAGGACATTTTTGTCTTATGCCAATTGATTCCAGATACTAATTACTATTACTTGAGGTTCCAAATTTTTTGTTTCTTGACATGTCAGCAGTTTGGAGACTCCATTATACTGCATGTATGATTCATCAATAATCCACAACTGAGGATATTCTTGTCTTATGCCAATTGATTTCAAATACAAATAAACATTACTTTCTTGAAGTTCCAAATTTTTATTTGTCTTGACATGTCAGCCATTTGAACTTTGTGAAACTTTTGAAATCTCCAATGACATTTCAATTCATAAAATGATGAAAAAACTATTTTAGATTTTTTTAAACGCCAAGTTCCCTAGTATGGAATTTATTGAATGAAAGAAAAATTTATTTTAGTTGACCTGTACTCCATTGGTTTTGTAAATAGCTCATTACATAGGCATAGCCACACATAAACACATTTTCTTGCATTCTATATGCCCACGTGACACTGGATACTTCAAAAAAAATAAAGAAAAGAAAAAAAGAAAAAAAAGAAAAGATATATGAACTATAAAGTAATACCTATAATCATGCGACATGCGTAATGTATTGTGACATATTATTTATACAATGCTGATGGTCTGTGCCATTCATTTCTCCTATCAATGATCTTGAGTTTTGTTGTTCCTCTTTAACTCTCATTGTAAATTTTGCACTTGTGATGCGCTGAAATTTAACCAGCTGTTTATGTCCATTGCTTCCAAAGAACATTGTTTCAAAATGTTATGCTATCCTTGTCCTTCCTGGAGATTACCTTGATTGGCCTACTCCTTTTTTTTCCAAAGTTTGAAATTTTCATTCCTCTTATCTCTTATTATACATTTTATACGTGTGTACATTGCAAATATTACTAGCTGTTTACACGTGCATCATCCAAAGATTTGGGTTTCAAAATGTTGTGTTCTCTTTGTGATTTTCTGCAGATTAGCTTGATCGGTCAACTTCAACTTCTTTCTTCCACAGTGACAACTCTAGCTGTACCTTCTCCATCTCTTACCGCTACATTGGCCCGTAATTGCTGCACCACCATTTGAAATCATTTTATTTATTTTTGATATTCATATTTGGTTTCCTTTATGATATTCTTATCATTAACATTTCTCAGTGACATGATTTAAAATTTTCCTGTATCTAGGAGGTGGTAACAATCCTGCTCCGACAGTTCCACTTGTCGCTTTAGGAACTCAGGGTGGAACTATCGATATCATTGATGTCTCTGCAAATGCAGTGGCAGCAAGCTTTTCTGTTCACAGTGGCACTATCAGGGGATTGAAATGGCTTGGGAATTCCCGGCTTGTTTCATTCTCACACAGCCAGGTGAAAGAATTTTTTGTTGACTATGTAAATGCCTGTCTTTGAATGCCATTCTTTTGTTTGTTAGAATAGTATTAGTTGGCAAGAATATTTAGTAAGTTTACTGTCCTATGTCCTATGGTCTAGCATTACTAATTCATACCTTATCGATGTGAGCAATCAGCACTTTTTTTCCATGAGGTTCATGCTGCGATACCTTTATTAAGAAATGGTGGAAGACTTTGATCTTACCACTCCCGGTGACTTTTCTGGTTATTGCATTTTCTTCAGTTGGATGTTTCCTTATAAAGTGGACATCACCCCACCATTTAGGAGCTTAATCTTTTGGATGAAGCGGTTTCCAATATGGCTTCATAGAACCCGAGCGAAATATTTGGTTCTGAAACTCTCCCTGAACTTTTGAAAATATGTACTCTTTATCATGCATGTTTTCTCCACGTTCGTGATAATGCATATTTCACATTAATGGAGGGAAGAGTGTTGGATCACAGATGTGTTGCTATAAATCCATTGTTACAGCCCAATTCTGTGACGGTCTTAATATATCATCTAAAATACTTTTTTCTGGTTCTTTTGAATTAAGCTAGCTACATGTTAGTCTTTCCATGATGCTATCTGCTTGTTTTAGCCCTAGCCTATAGGTTTCATGGTATCCCCTCCTCTCCATAGCTTCCTTCAAAGGAGCTAGGTAAAACAGCTCAGAGAACTAATTTCAAGTGGAATCCATGCCTAATATTGGTCAATTATTCCCCAGATTGTCGGTGGTTCCATAGACAACCTTATTTTGATTGAAAAGGTTCAGATGATCGTAGTGAGGTGTTCCCACTCTTTTCTTATTTCTGAGAGCAGGCTGTAACTTTACATAAGTTGAATTTCAACCCAGAACCTTTATACATGGCAAAATGCAGCTGTCACTAGGTTCAATAGAACTCATAGAGGCTGAAGCTTATGACAAGAGATATGTTTATTTCTCTAGAAACAAAATGTTACTATATAGTATAAAAATCTTTTCAACTAACAGTATATATTGATCAATACAGAAGTTAGTGAATGGACGATTCTGAATACATTTAGACACCATTTTAGGATTCATTTGGATGCCAATTTTTGAGAGTGAGGGAACCTATCGTCTTCATGTCTAGTTGTATTCTTAGAGAAATCCTCATAGTGAAATCACTTGTAATGAGGTTAATGCCTACCTCCCAAAAAAACAAAGTTTATCTGAAGAGGAAAGGGTGTTCCAATGCTAAGAAAAGTTGTGTCATGTAACATGTTTGAGTTGTACTCCCAAGGCTTGTTATGAATTGGGTAAATTTCACAAAACCATCTATGAATTCTGGAGTGTTTTGCACAAAGCCCCCCTAATTTTACAATTAAGGACATAGCCTCTATAATGTATATTCATTGTCACATATCTTTCTTTTGAATTTATAGTTATCATAACAAAAAGTTTTGATCAAGAACTTGGTGAATCCAGGGGAATGACAAATCGGGAGGCTATACTAACAGACTTGTCGTAACCTGTCTTAGAAGTGGCCTTAATCGTCCATTCCGTGTACATCAAAAGCCAGAGCGTGCTCCAATAAGAGCTCTTCGTGCTTCCTCATCTGGAAGGTTTGTTTTGAACCATGGATTTTGTTCTCGTTGGACAAAGGCCACTCAACTGTTCTTTATCACCCTTTATTTATTTTCTTTGTTGTATTTTTTATTTTCATTTATTTAAATACAGTTTTTATAAACCAAGGGGATACTCATTTCTTGGAAATATACACTCTTCAAGCTGATTGGTTCTGTCCCCTCTTTTCCATGTGATTACCGTCATCTTTATGTGGTTTTCTTTGATGAACATATAATCTATGCAACTTCTTGTTTCTCTGCTAGAGTTTTGGAAACCCTCTATTAGTGGCTTTTCATGTGCATCTGGAATTATGTTATAACAAAATCACGTTAACACATGACATATAACATCTGCTTCATTATCCATATAAACCTTTCTAATTGCAACTTACTTCATTGGATGCTTCATCCTGCCTCTAATTGTGGTATAACTGTGGGACTTAGATAGCTTATACAGACTACTTTGGGCACATGGTAAAAAATGCTGAAGCATTTATTCTTATTAAAACGAAATACACCTTCATTCTGCTTAAAATATGAAAACTATTCGAGCATGAATCTGTGCTTAAAGCATCGGTCTGTTCTATGGAACATCATTGTTGAGTATTGTCTTGATGCACATTATTTCATAATAAGCAAACATAAAAATTGTTAGTTAATCTCCTTAGACATAAGGTTGAAAACTGGAACAATCCTCATGGTTTTTTATATCCCTTAGCTTTTGCCGGAATACTTCTCTTGAATTTACCACATGATATTATGTTTCTTGGTACCTAGGTAGGTCTGCCTCAAATCGATATCAGTTGGTCTGGTAAAGAATATCTTAATTGTTAAATATTGTCCTTAATGATTGGGTAAGTTGAAGACACTACTATTTTAATTTGGATTCTTCATCTGCCAAAAAGTTTCCATTATAAGCTAAATGTAATGAATTACTTCCTTAAATTCTAATCTATTTCAGCTAACAAAATTGTCAGGCACTGTGATAGATGTCAAAGAATTGTTTAATTCGTTGTTTTCACCCTGTAGAGTACTTCAACCTTTATTAAAACTTCTATTCATTTGTAGGATGACTTGACTTATTTTTTTTGCAGGTACCTCCTCCTATTGTTTCGTGACGCTCCTGTCGAGGTTTGGGCTATGACAAAGACGCCCATAATGGTACGCAATCATTTTGGTTGTCCTTCCATAATTCTCTCGTTATATATGAAGTAGTGAACTTATTCAGGGAAAGCTCAGTGTCACATAAAAACAATATATTTCCTGTAATACACTCCAAATACCATAGGGAGTGTTTGTTTCCCCTGGTTACGTCTTACGTGTAAAGTCTCCCTGAAAATTGGGATGTACTACTTAATTTTCTTTTGAATGCTATGAAGCTGGAAGAAGGGGGAACAAGAAATGCAAGGAACAAATTCAAATCAAACATCTTTCAGCAGCGCAGAAAATGAGCATAACACGCAAGACATAAAAAAGAACAAGAAGTTATTTTGATTCTTGTTTAAGATACATGAACTACTAACTCTGATCACCCACCACCCAATGCATTACTTGCAAAATTCACCCATGTTTGATCTTTTCTGAACAACCAAACATTGTATTTTCTCTCTCCATTATTCCACAATCCTCAAATAACATGAGACCTAAAGCATCCACTGTAAAAATGAAAATGAATACGTGCCTTGAAAAATTAAGAAGGCAAGCAAACTACTTCCAATTGCTGATATGCATGAGGCAAAACAACCGTTTATATGCAAGTCACATACTAGTTTTCGAGTTCCCTTGATGCATTCTTTTTCCCCCCTTGCTATTAACCACGGCTTTAGTTTCAAGTGAATCATGCAGTTGACAGTTTCACATTGTTGTAAATTAATTTGAAATTTTCCCAGCATATTGTCTACTATGCATTGTCATGCTTATCATCATTCTTTATTTACCCTTGTAGCTTAGATCGTTAGCACTTCCATTCACGGTATTGGAGTGGACTCTCCCAAGTGCACCTCGGCCTATTCAAAATGCTCCTGCAAGGCAATCTTCGTTCTCATCTAAGGAACAGTCATCTGGTGCATCTTCAGCAAGCAATTCATCTTCTCCAGATTCCAGTAAGAATGATTCTGACATTGTTCTCATATTGTATTTGGTAAACAAATGCGTCTGGGTTTCATCTTTGATCTATATTTTGTTTATGCTGATATATGGAACATTCGTTTCTAGAGGTAACAAGCTCTGAAACTACTGGAGATGAGACGTCCGAGAGTTTTGCATTTGCATTGGTTAATGGCGCACTTGGCGTATTTGAAGTTCATGGACGACGGATACGAGATTTTAGGTACCTTCTGCTGTTAACAATGAGTAGCCAAATGTTATGAATGAGCCAATTATCAATACTGAAGTATTCTTTATGAATAATTCAGTTGATTAATGGGTAATAATTGATCATCTACTTGGCTCTAATGTCTATCAACTTACTTTTTTCTTAAACATTCTCTACTACCTTAATGAATGATGCTCCAGTAGAAGCATACACACACCTTTCGTGTGTGCAGACACAAATATGTGACTCATCTAAAGCCAATCTAGCTATCCAAGTGTTATTTGTTTATAAGAAACAACCAGTTACATTGCCTTCCTCTTCGCCATCTTAATGCCCTTGAAAGTACTATCTAGCAGTTTACTTTCATGAATGAAGAAAACTAGCATTTTCATTCTTTACTGTTATATTATTCTGTTAGCATTATAATAGTGCTACAGATGCTGAAGGGACAGTGTGGCTTAGGACAGTATCTTGTTTAAGCTCTTTGATTTCGTTTCTTCTCATGCACTTTTGACTTCGACCTTTTAATTTGCTTCTTCTTGTCCTCAGACCTAAATGGCCCTCCTCATCATTTGTATCTTCAGATGGATTAGTTACTGCTATGGCATATCGTCTTCCACATGTTGTACGTATGATATGTTTTAAGTCTTCCTGCACAAAAACAAAGTTTCTACCGAGAAGAACTCTTAAGTTCACAACTTGTTGATAATCTGCAGGTCATGGGAGATAGATCAGGTAACATACGTTGGTGGGATGTAATTACAGGCCTTTCTTCATCATTTAGTACTCATAGAGAAGGAATTAGGAGGATTAAATTCTCCCCTGTTGTTCCTGGAGATCGCAGCCGAGGGAGAATTGCTGTACTTTTTTATGATAATACTTTCTCAATTTTCGATCTAGTAAGTTTCAAACAGAGGGCAGTTTTATCAACTCTTCTCATAATAACTTCCTATATTTGATTTGTGTAAATCCTTTTAGAAATGTGAAATTCTTATATCAATTTATTTGTGCCGCATGACATATTGATCCTTAAATATAATGTTGCATCTTACATATCTTGGTGTTTATCCCTATCGAAAACATGTTACATTTAGGTTTCAAGCATAAACAAATGCAGATGCAATCAGCTAGCCTATATTACCTCTGGAGGAAAAACACAATCATCCTTGTTTTCTGTGATCTGCATTGCACGTACCAAACTGTAGAACATTAGAGTTAAGAACACTGATGTCAACCTTATCATATATACATGAAACATGTATGTGCTTTCAAGTCCTTGGAGACTGCTATTTTTCAATGAAATAGAATACTAATGCTTAAATCTCCGAAAACTCTTGCACATAAAAGATATGATCCTTTAATGTGCGTCAACAGAGCAGAAGATGTGGAGGCAAAGCCTTAGTATAAAGAGGCAAAAAGATTAAAATTCTTGCTCATTTTCCTTCTTTCAATTTAATGCTCAACTCTACTGTATTCTAGGATCGTGTTATGATTCATTGGATACTTTCATATAATGGATGCTTGACTTACTATAAATTGATCCATTTTGTCCCTTGAAGTAAAACCTTAGTTTGGTCATTAATTACACAGTTTCTCACATCTCTGTACACCTACAGTTACACAAAACTTAATGTGCAAGACAAAAATTTGCATATTTAGTTTTGATCTAGTGTAATCAGTATTTAATACTTATAATACTGAAGAAATTGCATGAGAGCTTATAATGCAGTGCAGTGATTTTTCCCTTCAAAATTTAGATCACATCCAGATTTGTATGATATACAACTAGTGAACGTGAGAAATATAATTCGATGACATGATTTTTTTCCTCTAAGATTTAGTGTCTCCTTCGGTTTTTCTCTCTTGTACATTGAATTCTCTATTAAATTGTTTTTTATGAGAAGTGCTGGATTTCAGTATCAGTCAGAGATATTGTTTGACCTGACCTTTATGTCAACTGAAATACTTTTGTCTCCCTTTATTGGTGTTGAATCATTTTTTTCATTAAATTTAATTAGCTTTTGAATTTATTGATTTGCATTTTGCAGGATACAGCAGATCCACTGGCCAATGCCCTTCTGCAGCCGCAATCTCCTGGCACCCTTGTGTTGGAACTTGATTGGTTGCCAATGCGAACAAATAAAAACGAGCCATTTGTATTATGTCTTGCTGGAGCTGACAGTAGTTTCCGCCTTATCGAGATTAATATGTATGTTTTCTTCCAAAATTTAGTTTACTAATATATAAATGGCAAATAATGATAATGATAACAAACATAAAAATAGTCATAGTCAGTAGTAATAGAAAAGAAATTTTGAAGTACTTTACTATTGATTAACAAATGTTGAATGGTTGTTTATCTAGATCAGTTGAGGATAGGATCATGATGAACAGTGTGAATTAGCCATCATTCACCATGTGGTTTTGGACCACCATGACTGAATATTTTCTAACATGTTAGGTTATATCCTTTAGTCTTACATAGCTGTATTTGAGCTTGATAGTTGTTCATTGATATGCTTTTAGACAAAATCTGTCATCTTTAAATTCATGAATTTGGTGATTGTGGTTGATTCATGCTTTGCTAATTATAATGTGCTGAGATGGTATAAGTCCTCTTGAAAGAATTCCAGTATGACACTGATGAAGTTCTGGTCTATCTTATGTCTCACAAGTTAAGGTCCATGGTTAAGATAAACCAATGATTTCGTGGGTAAATAAGTTAATTTTGTTATATTCCTCTTTATACTGAAAAGTTACTGTATACTGGTACCCGAACTTTCTGTTACTTATGTGTCGCTTGTCTCTGGGCTTATTCATTTTAAATTAACATCGAAAACCATGGAAAGGCACTAAATATTAAATGACAGGAACTGAAGGAGAAGTTATTAGTGCAATCAGATACAGTGATTCCCTACTATTGACTTGAATGCTTTATATCTCACAATAGTATCATTTTATTTGACGAAAAGAATATGCCATACTGACAGGCTATTGGATGTTTTTATTAGATTATATTAATAAAGGTGTCCAGGTTCAATGCATGTTAATAGAATATCTTCCTATTTATGGGTTTCCTTTATTAGATGTTTTCGTTTCATATTAGTGTTTTCATTTCATGGATATTGTATGAGGTGTACAAGTATGGGGTGGCTACCGTTTTCATCCTAGTGAATGAGAATATACAAAAATTTCTCTTTCTTTTATTTCTACTATTTTCTTCTGATCCTTTAATTTACTTTGTTTTCCACTTAGAGAATAATGTAATTTCAGTTCTTAATTGAATAACTTTCGATTTAATAGATTGATGAAGCTACTCAACATCAACCATTTTTCTCGTTCTTGTGTAATCAGTGATGATACTGGGGCCAGTCCCCGCATGCAGCCAAGAGCGATCAAGGAAAAATTCCGGCCAATGCCATTGTGTACACCTGTATTATTCCCCACTGAGCACGCCCTGGTAAGAAGCTCATATTCATTCGTGTTTTGTCTGTGTGTATATGCCTTTTGATGTAATGAATTAGCTTGCTCTATTTATTGTCCTTCACATTTCGGAGATTCACATTTAGATAAATTTTTATCTGGGGAAGAGTATTCTGCTCAAGTAATTGCATTTTCAAATGTATTGATCCAAAGCTAGCACATGACAAAAATGCTACGTAGATAGGGTACCGACATGGATTTCGTGTATGCAACAATAACAGAAAAAGGGATGTGTTTCATCCGAATAATTTTGTGACTCTCTATGTAGATCCTTTTCTCATTCTGATCTAAGATGTTTATTTTCACTGTTCAGTGAAGTTTTATCTTTTTGCCTCAATCCATTTAGTTCTTGGTCTACCTTACCAGCACCTTCAATTATGGATATTAGTGTCTGACACGACAATTTCCATAAACCCTGTCATAGTGAAGCACAAATCTGCGTCTGACACGACAATTTCCATAGACCCCGTCCTTGTGAAGCACAAATCTGTCAACATGGACAAACATCTCTCTGCCGTCAGTCGGCCTTCTACTGTACATGTGCTGTTGCTGAACATAATAGTTGGAACAAACATTAATGTTCGTGAAATTAGGGAGGGAGGGAGGGAGGGACGGAGTTGATTTGATTTGTCTGCAGTACATGACACTAATCATAATTTTCTGTGAAAGATTGACAAGTCTTTTGACAAGCTGAGTTGAGCTGACTTGGGTTGGGTTGTCTACAGACTATGACACTAAAAGTCATAATTTCCGGTGAAAGATTGACAAGTCTTTTGAGCGTTTACGAACCTGATTTTAACACTCAACAGTTGCTCAAATTTTTGGCTGAGCGGTTGAAGTGTCTGACTTGTGAGCAAAATAATTACTTGTCATAAGCTCGAATAAACCAGATGGGGGGAAGGAAAGACCGTTCTACAACCAAATTAAGTTCATGAAATTGAGGAGCTAGCATTCAGCTTTCTAGGAAATAATCTAGAAAAATAAAGGCAGGTTTGATGTAGGCTGATAAAAGTTCACCTCTTGACAAGTGAGACTCACAGGTCTTTGGATCTTTATTTTATTTTATTTTTACCGTAGGATTATTGAATGAAATAAGGAAGTTGATGCGTCAGTATCATGTTTGACTTTGAACATACACAGGCACTACGGATGATCTTGCAGCTGGGTGTAAAACCGTCTTGGTTTGATCTCACTGGTACAGATATAGATATTATGCATAGCCATGTACCTGAAGCTGGGCCAGCATCTGTTGGAGACCTTCGAAGCTATATGATTGAGTCAAATCTTCCTGCAATAGGTGATTCTGTTGTGCCTGAATTGCTTCTGAAGGTTTTAGAACCTTACAGAAGAGAAGGTATACGGCTAAATGCTTTAACATGATTGGATTATATCAATTGTTATTGGAACATGTAAACTCATTCTTAACTCTTCTTGGAAAAGGTTGCATACTTGATGATGAAAGGACTAGACTATATGCTTCTATAGTGAACAAAGGTTCTGCAGAAAGGTCTGCTTTTGCTGCTGCTATATTTGGAGAATTTTCAGAAGCCCTATTCTGGTTGCAGCTACCTCATGCGCTCTCCCATTTTGTGGATAAATCAGCTAACCGAACTCGAGAAACATCAAAATCTTTGCAAATATCAGAGGCTGAAAGTGTATCCATGTTGAACAGGATAACATCAAGGGAAAGATCTGTGTCAACCAAGAGAAAAAAAGACTCTATTGTAAGCAATATTCTGAGGTTTATCTGTTCTGTGCTACCTTTTTGTGTTTATTTATCTTCACATCACATGCTATTTTTAACTTGTTGACCTGGCTAATACTGTGAGGGTTGAATCAAATATCAGTGTTTGTATGCAGTATACCCGCTGACTACTCGGAACGATATTGTTTGCAGAATCGTGGCCCACTTAATCTTATGTCCTTTAAGCAAGAGGAATTGTGGGAAAATGCAAACGAGCGAATCCCCTGGCATGAGAAGTTGGATGGAGAAGAAGCGATTCAGAAGCGTGTTCATGAGTGAGTAGCTGTCAACCCACCTTGTACTTGTGTTATACATTTCCACATTAGCACCCATTTCCTCTCCACCACTATCGGCAAAAGCTGCTGCGTTCATCTCTGCAGCTATGTGGTGCAAATTCTTTATTGCGACAAACCCTTAGAGATAGGCTTTAAACTTTTAACATACATAAGGAAAATAAACATATAATGCTGTACAATAATTACAGGAAAGAAGAAATATATATATATTTAAGACTAGTTTCAGTTACTTTAGTTTAACTAATGTAGTGTGGATCTATTATAGTACTTCCATAAAATTGACAGATGCATAAACATATTTCTTGCTACCTTTTGGTGCTATTATCAGTTTCTGAATAATGAAGCTATAGGGTAGAAATGGTTGTCTGGTTAAAGGTTGATCGATTGTTGTCAGATCTTAAGTATGCATTTCTTTTATTAGCCAAAGTAAAACTTAACATCTTAGCCTTGAAAAAAAAAAGCCCTGAAAAGCCAAAAGGTAAGTAAATACATGAGTCTGTAATGCCCCAATTCTAGATCAGTTGAAGAAAGTAAATAAAAATGATTTAAAGTGCCAAGTGGGTTCTAGATAAGAAGAAGAAACAAAATTTGTAAAGCATCATCAAGGGCACTGCACTGCCACTTCTTAACTGTTCCATAATATCAGCTACATCCTCTATAGGGTTTGAGCTACTTTCACTTGTAACACCTGAAGCATTTGGCTTCTATCTGAAATCTGCACATTTCTAACACATCAAGCAAATATGGTCAATAACTAATGTTTTATTTGCTGGAACTTCCAACGCATTTTGATGGGGCCTCAAACAATGAACAAGCGTACCACTGAGTTTTTTTAGTCCCTGTATAATTTTTTTTGGTCAATGAATGATTTTTATTCATAACCAAAATGTAAAAATTATATACACCTTTGTACTCAGAGAACCTACTGAGAAATCAAATTAAGCTGTGGACAATCCCAAAACAGCTCTTCTACTATTAAAAAAAACACACACAGACACACTACATTTCTTCCCAACAAGAGGCTAAGGAGCTGTTGAGCACTGATGTCAAGATTTCAAATTTTATTTCCTTCACCAATTGGTCTGCATCTTTGTTTTTTTGTTGGAAGAACCTGACGTTGCGCTCTCTTCATACGCAATAAATTGTAGTTGTTAAGACCATCCTCTTTATTTTTTTCTTGAATCCCCTTCCTCTCAACCTGTTGGAATACCAGTCCAAGATGTGATTCCATAGACATGATTTCCAATTGAACTTCAACCACTCCATGATACAATTTCATACATTGCTTGAATATGTGCATTCAAAAAACAAGTGTCCCCTAGTTTCCTGATCTGCTCCTGAACAAAGGTAACAATTATTTGAGCTGATTATACCCCTCCTCAGTAACCTGTTCTGAGTGAGAAGCCTGTTCTGAATTGCCAATCAACACACAAAGGAGTGTTTAGGGACATTAGAAACATCCCAGACAGTATTGTACCATGGCACAATTGGTTGAGCAGATGAGAGAGCATTGTATAGTGTTGACAACTTGAGTTTTGCATTTTTGTAACAAGAACAAATAATCATCTTTAGGTTGTCGACTCCCCCATAATGATCTACCAATATATCTCTGACCTTTAGCAATTGTTTCCAGGACCAAGAGTCTCCATTTCTAGCCTTAACTTGCCAAATGTCCCTGCTCCTTAAGTAAAAACTATGAATCCATTTAATCCATAAGGTTTCTTTATTGTTGTGAATAAACCATATGCAACGCAAATCTGTAGCCATATTCCAGTTTGAGGCTGAGAAAACTCCTAGACCACCATTTTTCTTGCTAACACATACTCTCTCCCAAGCTACTAAAGGAGTCATGTTAGTCTGAGCTCCCCACAGGAACTTCCTACAAAGATCATCAATTCTTTGAAGTGCACTTTTTGGTAGGATATAGTTTGAAGTCCAATAAATTTGTATTCCAAGAATTACGCTTTTAATGACCTGAACTCTTCCTGCATAGGGGAGGTTTCTATGATTAGTCCATTTTTTGAATTGACCCTCAATCTTCTTGAAGAGAGGATCACAATCAATAGTGGACATCCTCTTGGTAATGAGAGGCACTCCAAGATATTTGAAAGGCAGAACCCCTTCAGGAAACCTCAGACAGTTTTTGATATTAATCTTGACAGATTCCTCAACTCCTTCAAAATAAATTGAACTTTTTTCTGGGTTGGCTTCAAGCCCAGAGATGAGTCCAAAGCTTTTAATACATTGATAAAGCTTGTTTACCGAGTATAAATCACCTTTGGAGAAGAGTAGCAAGTCATCTGCAAAAATAAGATGGGTGATTTTGAGTTTACCACATTTGGGATGAAATTTGAAGAGCCTATCATTTTTCAATAAGCCCAAACTCCTTGAAAGATAATCCATTCCCAAAATAAAGAGATATGGTGAGAGAGGGTCCCCTTGTCTAAGGTCACGTTCTCCCTTGAAGTAGCCAAGAAGAGACCCATTGAAAGAGATTGAATATTTTGGGGAAGAAATGCAAGACATAATCCACTTGACCATCACACTTGGAAATCCCAGTCCTTTGAGCATTTCAGATAGAAAATCCCAGCTAATGGAATCAAATACCTTTCTAATATCTATGTTTAGCATTGCCCTCGGAGATAGATTCTTCCTGTTATAGCTTTTGATAAGCTCCTGGGCTAGCATTACATTACTTGTGATCTGTCTGCCTTGAATAAATGCACACTGAGCTTCATTCACTAGGTACCCCATCACCTTCTTAATCCTATTTGCTAGGATTTTAGTAATGAATTTATACATACAGTTGCAACATGAGATAGGTCTGAAATATGAAGGGAGTTTAGGACAATGAACCTTTGGGATGAGTGTAATAGAAGTGGAATTCACTATTCCTAACAGTTCCCTGTTTTGAAAAATTCCTCTATCGCCAGTGTAACTTCTTCACCTACAATGGGCCAGACAACTTTGAAGAAGGAAACACTAAACCCATCAGGACCTGGAGCCTTATTATCAGGCATCGAGAAGATAACATCTTTGATTTCCTGCTTAGAAACAGGTCTTGACATTTCCTTGATGTGAGATTCATTCAAAACAGGACCGACTTTTATAACATTAATGTCTGGAGAGGAAGTTGACACTGCAGTCCCCATAAGTTCTTTATAGAAGGATACTAATTCATTAATAATTTCTTTACCATCTGTGATTCTATCACCCCTACTATTATAGAGGACCATAATTCTGTTGTGTCTATTTGCTTTAGCTATATCATGGAAGAATCTGGTACATTTATCACCTTTTAAGCTCCATTCAATTCTAGCTTTCTGCTGAAAAAATGACAATTCACATTCCATCAGCCTATTAGAAGTGATAAGGCAGTCTTTTTCTTTCTTTATGAGTGCAGAATCAAGAGGCCTTGATTGAAGAAGTTTTTGCACCTCCTCCATTTCAGTTCTTGCTCTTATCACTTGCTCACTGATATTATTATAGTGTCTCTTGTTGAGTTCCTTAAGAGATCCCTTCAATTGCTTGAGCTTTGAATATACATAATACATGGTGTAACCCTCAATAGATGATTGCCAGGTATTTGAAACTGTATCAAGAAAACTAGGATGGTTAGTCCACATTGCAAAAATTTTGAATGGCTTTTTCCTTGAAAACTGTTCTCAAATATAGACACAAGTCTTGGAGAATGGTCTGAAAAGCTTGGAGGGAGGAATTCAATTTGACTAGCATTATACATATTAATCCAAGCATCATTAATCAATGTCATATCCAGCCTGCTCCACACTAGTGTCAGAATCTTGTTTATTGTTCCAAGTGTAATAGCATCATGTGGTTTTCAAATAGGAGAGACAACAATCGTCTATGAAGTTACCAAAATCACTTGTATATGTTTTAGATAAAGCAGAGCCTCCCAGTTTTTCTTCATTGCTAATCATAGCATTGAAATCCCCAAAGATTAACCAAGGTAAATTACCAATATTTTGGATATTTTGGTGAACATTGTTCAGATCTGACCATAACTATTTCCTAGCCTCCAACTGGTTGTGTCCATAAATTGAGGATATGACACAGTCTAGCTTGCCATCTATAGATTTGACAGAACATGATATATGTTGATCAGAAACTGCAATTGCTTGAATGTCCAGAACATTTGCATCCCACATAATGAGAATTCTAGTTTTGTCAGGAACCCTGACATTAGACATCTAACTCCAGTTTTTTACAATTTTCTTAGCAGCGTTAGGTAGTAAAGACTCATTGATTTTGGTTTCAATGAGAGCAATAAAAGAAAGATGATAATTCAACAAGTGTAGCCTTACCATCATTTGTTTAGAGGGTTTATTCAACCCTCTAACATTCCAACATGAAAAATTCATTTTGTCAGGCTCCCCTATCAATTGTAGAGGGATCATAATGTTCTAAATTATCCAAGGATAAGAATGGATTCCCAGATAACATTTTACCAGGGCTCCTGGTATCATTTGCATGAGAGCATCCTTCAATATGAGGGTTAGTAGGAGTCTTTGGCTTGTTACCCTTGGCTGATGTCCAGGGATTGGCATGATACCCTACAGTTCCAGATTCTGGTTTTTGGACGTGCACAACATGCACATGCCTGTAATCAATATTTGCATTATCAGAACTTCCTCCTTGATGTAAGATCCCCTTTCCTTTAGAATTACCAGCTCCCTGAACATACACATCATGCACAGGAGGTAACTGAGAATTCTAAAGAAATCTAGAACCCTCCATTATTTGAACTTGTTCAACAGATTCCCCAATAATATTTCTACCAGCTTGATTCTGAATTTCCGCTTCATGCACATCAGGAACAACAATGTTATTTCTATGTACAACATGCATTGTTTTAAATATCCCCGACATGGCCCGATATATCTCCCGATATATCCTTTTATAGGGCTTGCCGCAGCCGATATAGTCTTTAAATATCCTTTACCGCTTTTTGGCTATTT